ATATGTATGTATATGTATATGTATATGTATATATATAACTTATTAAAATTTATATATATATATTTTTTTTATTCCAGCTACAAGATCATCCTGCCTTGGCTGGCTAAACCTGCTGCTTATGGTATGCCTAACGGGTACTCTTTCTTGGGGTGTATATCTTTACACTGATGGAGATTTCTCACAGAAAGGTCTCAATGCTGCTTTCACAAAACTGTTGGAAAACTCCCATAAACTGGTTCATCTCACTTCTGAAGCTTTCCAGCCTGAAAATTTAAAAATGACAGCTCAGACAGTTAGCAAGAATATTGCAGATAGTAGTTTAGCTACCTGGGCTGCACTTGAAGAATATACAGGAGACCTCAGTGTGTACACGACCCCAGTCATTAACACAACAACACAAGGACTGAATTGGCTGAGAGGAAAGTCAGTTCTGTGTTATGACTGGATCTGCAACAACATTGATTGGACATATATTGTGGAAACCATAAGATCTGCACTAAATTTCTTGCATGGACAGTGGCTAGTTGTTTGTGATGAATTGAGTAAAAATAAAGCTTTTATGTCCGGTATTGAAACCATTAGGGCACATGCTACTAGTGTGTTAGAATTTCTTACCATTTTGTGGAGTTCTTTGTGTAAGCAGCTAGGCATTGTTGTAGAATATATACAAGAAGAAGGTCCAGGCATATTGGCAACAGTGAAAGAGCAGGCAGCTGGAGCCTTACATGCTGCCAAACAATCACTGGAAGGTCTGGTAAAGTAGATGTAATTATAAACAATCTTTTATGCAGTGTGAATTAATGTATTTCCTTGAAAAAAAGTAATTAGGTATGGTGGATATTGTGTTTTCCTCATTAATTAATGAAGAATATATTGTTTCCACTTCAGTCTTGTCTTAATGTGTAATTATTGTTCTTTTATTGTATATTTTATTAATTTTTATTATTTTTGATTTTTCATTTGATTTAGTTCTTTGGGTGCTATGCTTTTGATGATATGTGATCATCATCCAGTTTCATATCCTGAGCTGCAATTAATCAGGATTATGGTGCCAGTTCTTGAGATTGATGACCAAGTATATTAATAATATGAAACTGGTTAGCTTGATTGCTTTATACTATATTGTGTTAAAGTACTCATACATTATTAAAAGATCTCAGACTTCAAGAATTTATAATATGGTTGGGTATATGCTCTATGCCAAATTTTCTTATTGTTACATTGTACAGAAGTATCTGTATATAGTGCAAGACTATTATATACACATTGTTCTGCTATGCAAATTTAGCAAATGCAGGGATTGTTTATTTCATTACATGGGTTTGGCTGTTAAAGAATTATATATTTTGATGAATTAAAATATTGAGGTGTATTCATCAATAGATATGAAAAAAAGGAATAATTGTATAGGAGGTTACTCTGCTGTCAAGGGAAGGTTGATCTCTTGGTTGTATTTTGAAATAATTCTAGATATATTTTGGAAAATATTATTACCTGGAACAGGGGTTCTGAGAGTTCAGCTTTGTGTAGTACCTGTTTTACATCATTAAACACCCTTTTCAGTAA